TTGTGTTTTCACTGTTATACACTCGGGGGCGCTATTACACATCTTCTGAACGAGGACAAAACCTCCCGAACAAAAACACGTGAACAGGACGGAGAAACTAGCGATCTATTATGTAAACAGATGCATATGAAAAATGATGCGATCATCAGCAATAAACAGCATATAAATGAAAACTGCATAATGTTACGGAGTATAATGTTGATCCAGGAAGTGGTATATGTCTGTGCAAGCTTTGGAGGTATTGATGGAAGCGATTTACTGGATTTATGCTTTGATAATCATACTGAATATTATCCAGATGTAGTGTTTGATAAAAATGTGATTTTCTCACCTTTTTGCTCAATTATGCAGTTTTTATGAAACCTACCTATATTCAAGTGTTGATAAAAAAAGAATGCGTTAAGCTAGAATAAAACAGATTTTGGTGTATTACATATTCAAATATTCATACAAAGCAAGTGACTGTCTTTATGAATGGATAATCATGAATTACTGACTCATTAGATTCGTTTAAAAACGCCCCTTCATTCATAAACGAAACACCGCTGTGTTTGAATGGAGATTCGCAGCGGCTCCGCTGTGTCTTTGTTTTAAACTATTTTCGACGATGAAATAGAGCAAAATCAGACAATGATATAGTCAGACAATGTAAACCACTTAATATTAAGTTGTTTATTGAACTGTTGTATTAAATCAGTATTTACAAACTCCCTTAAAAATCATTAAAAGCTGTCACTCATCTTAGTTCATCGCGATCTCACATTTATAATCAATGAAGCTCTCTACACTGCACAATGAATCTCTTATTTACACCCCGTCTACACTTTGCTTATGAAAGGATTTGTGAGATATGTCTGTGATGCATTACTCAACTCTGCAAAAACGCGTAGAAACCTTTGAAGCTCCCCTGAGCACAATCACAAATATGATAATGATCGGGTCAGTCGCACTGGTGCTCCTAAAAATTTTGTCATAGTCGCACGCAGTAGTCGCATGCGACTGAAATGGTCACACTGTAGAGCCCTGATTACTGTTTAAGTTTTGGGTTGGTAGGATTTTGAAAAGTGTCTTATGCTCACCAAGACTTCATTTATTTAAAAACAGTAATATTGTTAAATATGATTTCAATTGAAAATAACTCTTTTCCATTTTATTATCTTTTTTTAAATGTAAATTGTTTCTGTGATGGCAAAACTGAATTTTCAGCAGCCATTACTCCAGTGTTTTGGTGCTCAAAAAACATTTATCACAGCTGAAAATGGTTGTGCTTTTTAATATCTTTGTGGAAAATATATTTTCAAACAAATCTGCAGTCTGTTGAAGCGACTGCTACTCTGTGTGTGCCTGTGTAAGCTTGGCTTAAGTGAGTGCAATATAAGCGGAGTAACAACTCTGACAGTTGATCCAATAATGAACTTGTCAGACTGATAAAAACTACTAAATCTTGTGTGGTTCATGAATGTTGTTTCAGTAGTTGTAGAGTTCTACCACTGAATAGCGATGCAGCAGTCACTTCTGTGTGATGTGAATTTGTGCACCCTTTATCTTTGTTTTATAGTGCTAATGTTATATAAGCTACCTGGAAACCTCTTCCCTGCTAAGGTTCAACAGCTAGATCACAGTTTCAGGATGCCACCTCAAAAGAGTTCACTGGTCTCTATAATCCTGCTGTGATGCACACTGCTCATTGTTGTGCAACTTTACCTAAATGCAGTTCCTTTCAATATTATTTTGTCATGTCATGGAATGATTTTGGATTATCCTGGGCCACTTGAAATGTTAGATATTTTAAAGGAAACAAAATGTTGAATGTAGTTAGAAATACCTAGCAAAATCCTGGGTTAAAAAGCAATGATCAGGCATTTTTGTGCCTGTACCACATCTAATGAACCGTGCTAGAATAGCCTTGATTGTATCCTAGCATGCACCGGAAGTGCCTTTGTCCTCGAGTCTGCAGGAAACGCTGAAGTGCTACTGTGAAATGGAAATGTGAAGTGACATGCTTGTCTCTGTGAATTTACAGCTGCAGAAGGCTGTGGGTCCAGAAATCACAAAGAATGACCTCGTGCCAGCCTTCCAGAATCTTCTGAAAGACTGTGAGGCTGAAGTTCGCGCTGCTGCTGCAAATAAAGTCAAAGGTGAGAGAAGACCCCAAAGCAGCCATGTAATATGTGAAAATAATGTTGAGTACCTCTGCTATTAATTTGCGTAATAGTTTTAAATAATCATAGTTAAGATATTTTCAGTAAAATAAGCTGCACAAGTCGCATAGGTCAAAATTACATTGTTGAGAGAAAAAAAAAACAGATAAAATGCACAAGTGTATGTCACATTTTATTATAACATTCAAAAATAATGTAAACAAACAGGTAAAAAAAAAAACAATTAAAATGTATTTTAGTTCCCCTCACTTCACAAGAAATCATTTAAATTGAATGGACATTCAGAATAGAAATTAGAAATATAAGTATAGAACATGAATTCTAGTGACATTTATTATAAACACCAAGCCTAAACATATTTGTTTAAAGTAAAACTGAAACTACCTGCATGTTGGAAATGTGCTGTACAAATAAACTTGGGCTCACATATCTCTCATATTTAGCACAAATTCAAATGTGTGCACTTTGCACATTAGGGTTGGGCCGATAGACGATGCCATGGCTGACAGACATCACGATGTTGAACCGGCATCGTGATTCTTTTGACAGTGCCTTGCCACCCATAATTGATTGTTTGCTTCAGTTGCACTACCAATGACTGAAATGCTCCAGGAAAGCTCTTTTCATGCTGAGCTGATCAAAATGACCACAGCTGATCACAGTTGGAAGTCAAATGGCTTTGTGTGCCATTGAGAAGGTGATTAGCTACACCTGATTGAATTTACAAGTCACTTTTAGGAGAGGTGATCCTTTTTCCAGCTCCAACTGGTTTTTAATTTAGATACAGCTGGATAAATCAAAAACTGTGTCCGTCTTCATTTCAGGCTTCAAAGCAACAAAATTTGATTAGGTTTCACAAAAACCTACATGTTGTGAAAAATACTGTAATTTATAGACATATTTAGAATTTGCTGAAATTGCCTCTATTTTTTCAGTTTTTGTGTAGTCAGTTCCTCGCTTAAGGAATAAAATATTTAATATTTTGTCATATAAACAGCTTTTTTTTTGAGTTTCGTTTGTAGCCGGCATTTCAAACTGTGGTTCAAAGACTGCATGTGTCTAAAGTTCCATCTAGTCTGGAGTTAATTTGTAAATTTGCTCTTAAGAGTGTTTTTCTCTGATAATCATGAAATTTCAGTGGTATTGGCTACTGAAATGTTTGTATTGTGATGACTCTCATTGATTATTTTTCTTGTCCTCAGAATTCTGTGAAAATTTGCCAGAGGACAGTAGAGAGACGATCATCATGACACACATTCTCCCCTGTGTTAAGGTAAAATGCTATTTCACTAAGCACTTGTCAACATCTCTGCAATGCGTCACGTTTCAGACTGATCACTTGTGCATCATTGTTCCAGTGCTCATCACATTAAATTGGTGCACAGTTCCAATCCTGGTTCAGTTACTGGCAGATAACTCTTGAGTCAGCATCTGTTCTCTAAGCGTCTAAGACTTAAACAAGATCAGATTAACAGCGTGGCATTGTGTCTGTGCTCTGACCTACTGCCTGCAGCAAAACTAGAATACTTTTCTGCTCTGGATCGTGTTTACTGTATATCAATCACTGTTTTCTCCTGTATTGTAAGAAGCATAGTGTTCTGGTGAAAATGACTTTGTGCAGACTCAAACCTCTGTTGAACCTTTTTTATGTTGAACCTTTTTTTAAAACCTCTTAAACTTTTTTTTTTATGGTAGTGTATGTAGTGTAACATATTTAATATGGTTATTTTTGCTGGAAATTCAGTGCATATTTGTGCACAATCCAGGGAATTCAGTACAATACAAAAGTTCTTCATTGATTTTCCTTTCATTTGAAACCAGAGAGGCACGATCCAAAAGCAAGATTCTTAACAGTCTAACATCTGAAAAAAATAAAAGCTTGACATTATGTAACACTTGAGCTAAAAACAAACTTAAATCAGTACCAAAATACAGTCCTGCCCACTGATAGCCAAAATATATCTGCCAGTGTTACATTTAAATTTACCATTGTATCCTTACTGTTTTTACGGTCACGTGGTCCATCTAGTAATACCCTCCGGTAGGATCAGTAGCAAAATACTCAAGATCCAGTATATACTGATACCAGTGAGATTTCACAGTTCATGTAGACTTCAGGTATTATACGTGATTAGTGGTCGACCGACATGTTTTTTGACAGCCGATGCCGATATCTTGGAAAGCAGGGTGGCCGATATAAAGCCGATATAATTGTATTTATTTTAATTAATATGTAAGAAATTTGAAATCATTTGAAAATGGATTAAAAAATACATTTGTAAAATAAACACTTGTACTTTAGATGACAAAATATTTTCCACAAATAAGTAAATATTTAATAAAAATATAATTAAAAAGGAAGTAAACTGTAACCAACAGAGCACTCAGTATTCTGGGAAGTTTGTGTGCATTGGGAATCATATTTTTTCAAATAAAGCCAAGGTAACCGCGTCCTGGGAAAATGGCACGTATGGTCACCCTACATTGATGGCAATGTGTTGTTTGCTCCTTTGTCAATAGGAACTTGTCTCAGACACTAATCAGCATGTGAAGTCTGCTCTGGCGTCAGTCATTATGGGTCTCTCCACCATCTTAGGCAAAGACAACACCATTGAGCACCTGCTTCCCCTTTTTCTGGCCCAGCTCAAAGATGAGGTAAGCCTGCTGTGTGTGTGTGTGTGTGTGTGTGTGTGTCTGACAGAGAGACAGACAGCACAGGTCTGGCTGAGGTAATTTGCGTCATGTTCCAGTCACAGATGATACTTCTGTGCAACTGCTCACTTTGATCCTGTCGAGGTGAGGCATTGCTAATGCTAGCCTTTTAGTGGAAAGCAGAAAGCATTGAAGTGAGAGATGAATGGATGAGTGCGGCACACTATCTCACGTCTCATCTCTTTATTTGCTGGGGCTTTTTGTTGCTTGCTGCTGTCTGTATTGCGATCGCTCTTCTTTAAACTGCTTGGGAGAAGTCTTTGAACATCTGTCAGTCACAGACAAAATAAATAGAACAAAGCCACCTGGACTAGGCCTGTCGCGATAATTAAATAATGTTTAAAGCATTCAATTTGCACGGACCGAAAGTCACGCGGAGAACACGTGATCATGCAGGTCACATGCTTCACAAGATCTCACAACTGGATTCGACTTAAGTTTGCAAGGTTTGTGAAATAAAATTTTCATTAGCCATTCAAAGATTTGTTTAAATGATGTAAATGCATATTTGCTGAATGCTGACAGCAAACGAGAAAGTATTATAATGTTTGCCTTTCTATTACTAATAATCATGTGAAGTCTGCTCTGGCGTCAGTCATTATGGGTCTCTCCACCATCTTAGGCAAAGACAACACCATTGAGCACCTGCTTCCCCTTTTTCTGGCCCAGCTCAAAGATGAGGTAAGCCTGCTGTGTGTGTGTGTGTGTGTGTGTGTGTGTCTGACAGAGAGACAGACAGCACAGGTCTGGCTGAGGTAATTTGCGTCATGTTCCAGTCACAGATGATACTTCTGTGCAACTGCTCACTTTGATCCTGTCGAGGTGAGGCATTGCTAATGCTAGCCTTTTAGTGGAAAGCAGAAAGCATTGAAGTGAGAGATGAATGGGTGAGTGCGAGGCACTGTCTCGCGTCTCATCTCTTTATTTACTGGGGTTTTATGTTGCTTGCTGCTGTCTGTATTGCGATCGCTCTTCTTTAAGCTGCTTGGGAGAAGTCTTTGAACATCTGTCAGTCACAGACAAAATAAATAGAACAAAGCCACCTGGACTAGGCCTGTCGCGATAATTAAATAACCGTCTAATCACAATTATTTGATCTAATCGATAAATACAATTATTGTGCCTTTTATACGAGACAAGGGGGAGTCATACACCAAAAGAAACAGAAGAGCACCAGTTTGCTTTTCATGCACTGTATAGCCTATACAGGGCTCCAGACTCATTCTTCCCACTGGTCGCTGTTTTGCAGCTAACTTTCTCAGTTTTTTTTTTTTTTGCTACAACATGGGATTAATCAGTGCATGCTGATGAACTTTTATCATAGTTTATAGGTATATGGAAACAAAACTGGTTAACATTCAACCTGTTCTTTTTCCTCTTTTGCTATGTTATAAACAAGGTGTCCTGACATTTTATCCTACCCAG